ATAGGGTCGCTATGAGTCGCAAGCGACTTGAAGGCACATAACAACAACAACAAACATACATTATGTTTCATTCATGTACATTGTGTGTCTCTGGTGACCTAGTAAGAAGCTGCACTGCAATCACAAAGGCATGTAGTTTGAATGTGCCAGCTGCTCCTCAGGAGAAGGATGAGCAAACTCTTTCCATATGATTAACTGCCTCTGAAAACCACTGAAGGGTCAGCTATGGGTCAATTCTGACTAGACACACCACAAAAAAATGCCTATTAACACCTTGTCTTTTCAAGTTCTCAATGAATCTTCCCTATTACTTCAGCTCCCTCCACTCCACCCGAATCTGCCCACTACTGTTGTTGTTTTTATGTGCCATTGAGTTGCTTGCGACTCATAACGACCCTACGTATAACAGCCCTAAACGCCATTCTATCCTGTGCCAACCTCGCTGTCTCAAACACACTCATTCCGACCCCTCCACTCACAGAATCAATCCATCTCATTGAGGATCTTCCTCTCCTGTGCTGTCTCTCTACTCTCCCAAACATGATGTCCTTCTCCAAGGATCAGTCCCTCCTTGCAACATGTCCAAAGTATGTCAGACGAAGCTTCAGAATCCTTGCCTCAAAAGAGCAGCCCAGCTTCACCCTCTCCAGGATAAACCTGTGTGTTCTAGCAGTCCATGGTATATTCAACACTCTTCTCCAGCACCACAGCTCAAAGGCATCAATTCTCTTTCTATCATCTCTAGTCAATGTCCAACTTTCTAATGCATAGCATGTAATTGGAAAGACTATTCTGCCCACTAACCTCTGCTATCCTAGTGATTTTCTTTTGTCTGCTTTTTCACTGTGTCTCAGTTCTGATTTCCTTGGGGTATATTCTTAGCAGTGGAATAGCTGCATCTTATGGGATTTCTACGCAGCTTTCTGAGAGAATGCCAAAATGTTTCTCACAGTGGTTATAACATTTTATAGTCCCAACAGCAGTGCATTAGAGTTTCAATCTCTCCGCATCCTCTCCAACATGTATTTGCTTGCCACCCTGTTAAAGTTTGCTACTGCCAATGCAGTGAGATGACATCTTTATTGTTTTGATTTGCATCTCTCTGATTACTAGGGATATTGTAGCTTATGTTTGATGGATCGTGGCTGAAAGCAGG